AAATAGCCCATTGTGTGGCTTTGTGCACAACTAGAAACAAACAAACAGAATGTACGGTATAACATGATACACGGCCACATCACATCTGATCAGAATATACGGTATAGATACACGTTAACACAGCAGAACAATAAGTGTAAAGAGGTGCATGACCAAATTATAACTGAACATTTTGGACTAATATATCAAACACAAATGATAACTGATCATTTTGGACTAATATATCAAACAGACACATGCAAACCGATCACAATGAAAAAACAATTAAACTTTTAAAACACTACCAGACAGGAAGTGTGGAAAATACATTGTAGATTTTGAGAATAGCTATTCTTTCAAGGCATGTGTAAACCAAACATTAGAGATTGATACATCTTCTATATTGCGAAAACATCATAACTTAGTTTAGTAAATACTAATATTATGCATAGAAACTATGGCTATTTTGGTTCGCTCACACGAAAGCTCAACATCTCTGTTATCTAGTTACTATAGTAACGGTAGATATATTGAAATAGTACCTCCATATCGTTAGCTGTATCACTATGACAACCAAATATATCTACTTTAATTTATTCAACTGTGCTCGTCTCTCTTTGTAGTGCATTGTCGTTCGAAATAAGCCACCGAGTAAAACTAGTAATGGGGGGATTTATTGATTTCGTCTGCACGCGGAAACTTCTATCTCGGTTATTGGCACCAGTCATATGCTTAGTATTAGTTATGTCACGTAAGCCATAAGTAATGTCTAAAATATATCATTCTTGGACCAAAATGAATGTTAAACATAGCGCTAGAAATATCAGAGAATAAAGTAAGAAACAGTTGATCGTATTAACATTTTAACTTTTTTTAACCCACTTGAGTAAATTAATTTCGAAATAAATGTACAATTTGAAACCTTTTGAATGCAAATAAACAAAATTACATTCAGTAGAACAGTTTATAAGTGTATCTTTATTTTATAATATTTATGAAATTGTCAGGGTGGTTAAAGAAATTAAAACAACAAAAAATTGAGTCATTTTTTGTGTTATTTTTATAAAAAACATGAAACATCATCTTTCCACACAATATTTTTTACTGATTACTTTAAAAGACTCCTAGAACAATAAAGGTATTACTGGATGTTTAACTTAGCAAAGTTCTGTTTTAATAATATTTAGGAAAGTTACGTGCAAATGATATGTCTGGAATTTCATTATATAAAAGAGGCTACGTTTTGTTATTATAGAGAACCATATCATCACTTGAAAATATTTTGTCAAGAAATAACTAGGCTAGTGATTATAAGAATACTAACAATGAAAGATTTGCACCCAGCAAATAAATAAAATAATCTCAAATCTAGCCAACCTGGAGGCCTTTGGTTCGTGTGCCTTTGCCTAAAAATACGTTTTACAGTCTGGGGCCATAGATACTCTATAAGAATGACGGTCAAATGCAACTATTTGGTCATACGAGTCAGATAAGAGTAGCTCAATAGTTAGCGGTGAGAGCTGTTGGCTAGCTATTACTCTCTGGTATGAATTCAAAATTATAGACTGTTATGTGCAGATGGTTTGTTTTGCACGAAATTTCTCAAACAAGATTGTTTGTGTTATCCAACGATACGATTTATTACAAACCCAGTTGAGAGGTAAGTAAGATATTTGTTGGTTGGCGTCTTCTTTAATTCAAATCAGTATTTGGTCATTATATATCCCTTCTTCTACATCTATCTCATTTGTTTTTTATTGTTTTCGGCGTCTCTCTTAACTGAAACCAGTAGTTGGTCGTTTTTTTCCTTCTTCTACGTTTATCTTACTTGTTTTCCATTGTTTTTGAAAAATTGTAGTTTATAACTTTTTAGCATCCCTGTACCAAGAACGTAGAAACAGCAGTGGTAATTAAGTCTTTTGGTAATGCCCTTTATAGTTACAGATAAGTTGTTGTTAAGATCAAAGCTACAAAACGGGTTATCTGTGTGTGACCACTAATGTTATCCAAGCCCGGTTTTTAGCGTATAAGCCTTCAGACTTATCGCTGAGCCACTGGGGTCTCTTAAGGTAATATGTACAAATGTATGAAAACTATTTTAAACAATATTTCATCTGAAGCGGAGGTCATCTGTCAAGCACATTTTGTCTAATTATGTAACTCAAAGACTAATTTTCAGTTACGTAATAACTTCTATTGGAAGAACTGCTAGAAAT